TATTAGTTCATTACGTCTATTTCGTTTATCTAGTTTAATTCTTTGTTTTAATTAATTTGTCTAATAAGATTTTTTCCAACGTTTCGAAACTTTTCGAAGTTAAAATTTTATGCAATAAATAAATCCATTATATCTAAATCATAGCTAGTTTTTCTCGTACATTTTTTGATGTCATTTTTTTGCGTCGTCGTTACTGAACAGACGTTAGTTCGTACTTGGTGATGACATGTTTTATTTTTTAAATGTATCTTATTAAAAAAAGAATATTTCATTTAACGCGTATTCAAAAAACACATTACAATTACCTTTAAAAATTATAGTTTTCGTTTGACATGTATTTAAATTAAGTGTTATCCTAAACAAATACTTCGTCGTTTGGCATGTGATTAAAAGTTGTATTATATATTATACAAAAAATCTTTCCATTGACGTGTGTTCTAAAATCGCGAAATAAAAAAAAGAATTTGTCTTAATACCGTCACAATTATCAATTGTCTGACAAATCATTTAATATAATTACATAATACAGTGTCCAGCAATAATATATCTTCCATCTTTCAATTCTTTCTCCTGATAACATACGATACAATGTTTATGGGTTTCTACTGACAATCACATTCTTGAAAGCGCAAAATAAAAATGTTTGTAAGAAATTCGTGTTATTGGGAAGGCAGTCTTAAAATCGATACCAGTAAGTAAGGAATCTTTCGAATCGACATTAATGTTGATGCTACATGTGCAAGCGAAAATATCCGGGATCTGATATAGATCAATTTCCGGTCTCCGATCTAAACACTTTCTGTAACGCAGGAAAATCTTGTTAATTGTAAAATAATTTCCATAATTTGGTTCAAAACACTCAATCTCGTAATTAATTCGTCACGCGACTATTTCGTGATACATGTAAATGTACTATTATTTCAAGCAATTCGCATTATACATACACATGTACATGTATAAAGTGAACTCAAATGTGGGAACAAAATACTCTTCACTGCAACGAATGTGACGATTGTCAAGAAAATAATTCCTACTGCGATGAGTATTTAGTTCACAATACTCATGATTGTAGTAAATCTTGGCGTTGTCAAGATAATTATGACTGCGATGACTGTTTCAGATATCACAAACGAATTTATTACGATGAGTTGTCAAGAGGAGATAATGATATCAAAAAAGATGCTGATAATTATGTTAAACATGAATTATTCGAATGGACTCCATTTGAAAGATTTACCAACGTAGAATATCTTGCAAAAGGAGGTTTTGTGTCAATTTATAAAGCCACCTGGTTGGATGGACCATTGAGTTATTCTTATTTGGATCATGAAGAGATTGAATTTAAACAAAAAGGAGTTGAAATCATTACACAATACATGTACAAAGAAAATTACTCTAGAGTTTATACACGAGGTAAAATGAGCATTTTCTAAAATAGATTCAGATTGCTCTTAAATGCGCTGATATCAATTATTTTAATTATGATAATTATGATTATATAAATTATATTATATTATTAATAATTATTAAAAATCTCGCAGAAGATGATCTCCGTAAATACATGTATATTTCAACTACGAAAAATTGACTTGGGATCAAAAATTAACTCATTTATATTCGATTATCATCTAACAAAATCCACAAAGAGAAATTTGTGCATCGTGACTTTCACCCTGGAAATATATTAGTGTTCAAGCGTCTTCAAATTTATGATTTTGAACTTAGCATCACAATATGAGTTCAGAGGTGCTAAATAGAAAGCCATACACACCGCCGCAGATGTTTATAGTTTTGGAATGATTGCGTATGAAATAGTAACCGGTGAACAAAGTCATGTTATAAATCTTGTATTAGTCATTTACAAAGGAGTCGACCCACGATACCAAAAAATGTTCCCGGATAGTACAAATTTATTGAAAATATTGGGATACTATTCCAGAAAGCAGACCAACTGCTGAGGAACTTAATTGCTTTAACAAATCTTTTTATTATGGAAATATGACTAAAACGAACGCGTTACATTTTCAGTACTATAGCTCTTTAGAATATACTAAAACAGAAGAAAGAAATTGAAGGGTATGTTAAATTAGAAGTTTGAAAAACCTGATGAGACGATGTCACAAAAAGCATTTCAGTAAATATTAAAGAAAAGCAACAAGTTCTACTCAAATACAATTTACTGTACACGAGTCGAATATTCACTTCGATATTTGTATCAATTCAAATTGAAATTTTGTCATCGCAATCACAATTTTCTTATGACATTAAGCTATTTTCATATAGAGTAAGGAAGTCAGCGAATAAATCAAATTTGACTTCTTTCGGCCTTCTTCGAGTTCGAAACAATATGTCAACGTATTAAAGTTGCTGTTATCAACTTTTAAGTTTATTCATTATAGTCGGTTGTGGTCTAATTCTCCTTTACTGCCTTTAATTTTTAAATATGTCACCTAATGATCAGTTGATTTCTAGATTGAAAATAAGATAATTCTTCATCTAGATCAAAGAAATTTCTAACGGTTATTTTCTATAATTTAATAACGGAGGTAATACTTCAGTTGAATTCCAACGATCATTTTTGATAACGCAAGTAAGTTCTTCATTTGGAGAGTATTATTTCTTCATTTGGAGAGTATTATTTCTTCATTTGGATCGTGAAAAATTCCCAACGTTCGTTCTTCGAAAATTTGAAATTAGATACTCTTCAGATGATGAGCTACCCCCGTTATCAAATTTAGAAAACAAACGTTGGGGATTTCTCCGTTTCACTTCATCCGAGAAATTCCCAATAGTTGTTCTAAAAGTTAACAACGGAGATTAGTTCTTCATCTGAAAAGTATCTAATTTCTTCATCTGGATCGAATAAATTCCTGAAGATCGTTTTTCCAAACTTTGATAATGGGGGTAGTTCTTCTGATGAAAGAACTGTCGAGACTTTTTTATTTTTTGTGCATGATTTTTGACTCTGATATTGAATATTGCGTGCAACTATTTTATCAAATTGATGATGATTCTTCGGACAAATTTTCATTTGCTTTAGCAATTTTCCAACAGCTCCGATTTGCCTTTCACTTTAAGTGTTTTTCATATTGAATTATTGTCAGAGCTTTGAAAAATCATCTTTTGTTACATCAATATCGTTCTTGGACATATCTTTACAGAAGGTCGCCTAATATTTTCTGTAATTAATTTTAGGAATTTGAGGCGAGAACAATGGCGGGTTATTGGATCTCTCGCTGGAGGTAAGAATGTATCTTGTGGTCTTCCAGATGTTTTTATTCAATAAGAGGTACATTTTGTGCGGCAAAACCTTCTGAATGTTGCATCGTGTTTGTATATCATTTTATTTACTTTTATAAAATAATTTGATATCGCATAGATGGCAAAAATGGTGGTATAAATAACTATCGTTACAAAAAAGATTTTTGTTTATCACCCGAGGCTAAAATTTAATGGGCCTGGTACAACATTCCGATAAAGTTATATAGTTTTGGCATGATCTGCCACATGAGTTTGCAGAGCAATTTGGAAGTCATTTGGATATACATGTTTATGCAAGCAGTCTAAAGACATCAAATATTTAATTAATATTTTAAACTGTAAAGGAATTTTATTTTATATATATAAATATTAAAACAAATGTTATTAAATAGCCTTTGACATGTTCTATAACATTATGTATTTATTTGTTGTTTTATAAAAATTATTTGTAGTTAGAAATTTTCAGCGCCTGATATCTCACGTGCGTTATTTTTAATTGGCTAAATTTCAACATGCAAATTTACATTATTATGTTTTATACAAAATTTAGCATTGCATAATTAAATTTAGCATAGCACATGATACCTTATTTTGGATAATAATTCGATTTCAGCAGTGGCGCAGTATACCCCTAGCTGAATTTTTTGTTTATTCTCACAAGACGAGTGTGATGTGTAATAAATTATACCCTAGCTGAATTTTTTGTTTACTCTCATGCGAGTGTGATGCGTAATAAATTATACCCCTAGCTGATTTTGTTTACTCATGAGACGAAAGGATATTGATATATAAAGGTTTTTCAATTCTTTCAATTCCCCCATGATACGATATTCACACGAGTTTTTACTTTGGCTTTTTTCTTTGAAATTTCTTTGGCCACCAAGTTTCTTGAAAATTACCTGAGTTTTCTTCGAGTTTCTTTGGTGTATAAGATTCCTGGAGACGCCTAGGTTTCTTCGTCAGAGTTTTCTCTTGGAATACACACTTGGCTTGACTTTTTACTCCTTTTTCAAAGCAAAACAGAGTGATCATTTCTAACTAGTCAATTTATTACTGTCCCATTTATTATCCTTTGACTCATTTCCTTTTAACTCCTTTTCAAAGTAAAATGGAGTAGTCGTTTCTAACTAGTCAAAATTGTTACTGTCCCTTTAACTCCTTTAACTTCTTTTTATTGGAAACTTCTGGTATAGTATCGTGACAGTGATAACGGTTGTTTCTTTCTTGGTTAATTTGAGATTATCTGAGTGTTGCTTTACCAAGAAGCAATAGGATTTTCTCTTGGCTAATAATATCCTAATATTTCATTCTTTGCTTGAACTTGTCTTTCCAGTATAAAATGGACCCTTTATCTGGTTTGATTATCAAGAATAGTTTGAAAGAAAGGATTTTTATTAGTTTTCTTTCTCAATGTTTAATTCTTTTTAGCTTCTTTTATTAGAAACTTCTGGTATAGCATCGTGATAACGATAGCGGATGTTTCTTTCTTGGTTAATTTCAAGATTATCTGAGTATTGCTTTACCAAGAAGCAATAGGATTTTCTCTTGGCTGAATAATTCTTAGCATTTCATTCTTGGACTTGTCTTTCCAGTATAATTGGTTCTGTCTATCTGGTTTGACTACTGAGAATACTCCGAATGGAATTTTCAGTTTTCATTTCACTTTAAATAAATCCTACCAATTTAAAGTTGGTTTAGGGAGTTATGCCACTTATTTATTGCTTGAAAACTCCCGAGTTTTAAAGAGTTTTTCTAGGATAAAATTCAAGTTTCAAATCCGATATTTTTTCGGTGTCTTCTGATTACAGACAGTCGTTAGTTAAAAGGTTATTACCTCAGGCCTTTCGTAAGGTTAAAAGGTTCTTACCTCCTACTCCAGTTTGCGATGTTAGGCCTTCGAAAGTTAAAAGAGTAGTCCTCCCTACTTCTAAATGGTGAAGTTTAGGCCTTTCGTTTGGTTAAAAGGTTCTTACCTCCTACTCCAGTTTGTGATGATAGGCCTTTCGAAAGTTAAAAGAGTATTCTCCTACTTCTAAATGGTGAAGTTTAGGCCTTTCGTTTGGTTAAAAGGTTCTTACCTCCTACTCCAGTTTGTGATGATAGGCCTTTCGAAAGTTAAAAGAGTATTCTCCTACTTCTAAATGGTGAAGCTAGGCATTTTTATTTGTTAAAGGTGGATTACGTTCCACTTCTAAGTGGTGATTAAGACTTTCGACTTAAAATTCATCAATGAGTTTTTTAGAGTTTTCTATGATACAACTCGAATTTCAAATCCAAAGATTCTTCCTTGGTATTACCGGTTCTCTTTAAAGATTCTCTTCCTAGCGAAAGCTGTTGTTATTTCATGGCCATAGTTATTTCAACGTAAGACTAGCCCCGTTATAATAGAGAATGTTAAGCGTCGTTCCCTTTGGTTCGTCGTGAGTTTCTCCAAGTCTTGACTTTTCATTAAATAAGACTTGGTTCTGACTTGAGTGCACTCGAGTCCCTCAGTGTTGATATTTAACCTTGTTGTAACTGCTTTGGTTGTTTATGGCCAGAGATCGATTGGTACTCGGGGTCGTAGCCGTAGTATTCTTTTTGATCTAAACAACCCTTTCTACGAGTTTCTAGCCAATTCTCATAGATCGTAGTATTCCATAAATTGGGATTTTGCTCTGGTGATTCCTAATTGGAATGAGGGTTCGAATCCTTCCAAAATCCATGCGAGAGTCACTTATTAATGAAATCGCGTTTCGTTTCGTTCTAACGTTTAATAATTATAAAAACCTCTTTATAATTTGATTAATAATAATATATATAATATAGTGATATCGGTCTGTATACGCTTCAAAGGAAGAATAATAAGATTTGAGAAATTGGGAGAGTTTCGAATTATTTAGAAGAAATAGGAATTGGTGATTTCGAGAGGAGGGAACATCTCTCGTTGATGAATTAGATTTCAGCTGGTTCACGTTAAGTATTTTTTTGGATCAGGCAGGCCATGAGTTTCAAATAAATGCAAACTAGATTAGGTAAAAGCGAGAATGGTAGTAAAAGCGAGAATGGTAGTAAAAGCAAGTAAAAAATGGATGGGAACAAATGCGCAAGAGCACAACACAAAAGTGGCATGAACCATGTCTTTCATACTTTCAGATTGAACTCACCCTCTCCTAATAATTGGTTTGTGTACTGCTGTTGGTGTTGGTAAACGCTGGACTCTGTAAATGATGAAATTTCTTGTCAATCACCTTGTCGAAAAATGCGTCAATCTTTCGGCAACTATTGAACCTCGTGCAAAATGCAAAGTTTTATTAATATGAATTAAATGCATGTTTACGGAGAAATAATGACAATATGGTTAATTTTGTTCTCACCTACCACGTTAACACAATCACCTCTATATTCATCAGCAATGCAGTATCGTCTTTGTCGACGACCGGTTAATTCTTGCTTTACGAGTCTGCTTTACCAATATCGGCACATGTAGATTTCTATCTCCTATCTGTAAATCGAAATCATATTCTTCTAGTTTAGAATTAATAAAAATCACATTAATTAATCATTGCACAATCCCCTGGTCCCAAACCAGGTGCCTTGCCATTAGGCCACTTTCCGTTAATTAAATTGTTGTTATTGACAATAACGAACTACATTATTTAGTAGAAATAAAATCAAAAGAAGATAGAGATAATAATATTGTACAAAGAAAATCAAACTAACATTAAGCGATCTCGACATACTTAAATTAGAACTGGCCAAGAACCCACTTCCACTTCCACTACTACCCATGCTCATCATGCCTCCATTCATAACCCGTTCTCCCTCCTCTTTAAACGCATGAGAATTCAACACTTCGGCAAATCACCGCCATAAATTATAATAGTTGCTCGCGTCGTGATTACATCAACGTGATGTTAACACATGTTTCGCGATGAATTGATCCACCAGCATCAACAAATTCTACGAAATATGGTTTCATTGTCCGTGTATGGATATGTTTCTGTAATGCCAAAATTCCACTATTTAATTGAAGAAACTGTTTTTAGCATTGTTTGATTGACACCGACCGAACAACTAGTCCATTTTCAAATTGGGCATAGTACATGTAACATTATTTTTCCAATGCGCATAGTAACACTAATCCCAAAACGGGTAATAAAAAACTTTGCTTTGTTTAAAAAAAGGGAAAATATACCGATACTCACATACGAGGGAAAAATGTGTTATTCAATATGAAGTACATCTATAAAATAAAAATGTAATTTTTAAAAAAAATATACCTGGCAAAATAAAATCTGTCTTTGTATATTATTCTATTTTGCCATGCTTCAGCATTCTGTATTTTGAGATAATAAGCTTCGAAAAACTATTAATAATAAAAAGTAATACAAATAAAAGAAATAAAATAAACAAAACAAAGAAAATTAAAAATATTTAGCTAATTCCAGGTTGTGTATTATTGTGTCATTGCTTTGCGTATTATCATACTTCAGAACATTGTGCTTCAGATAGTTTCTTCACTTATTTTTGCTTTGGGTATTAACCCTTTTAATATTAATTTTTCGGCGGCCGGATTCGCATTAAGAACGAGAGGGAAAAAACTTATTTCGCATTAGATCGATATGAGGAAGCGTTGGCAGATTTGAATGCCATATTGGAGGTAACACCGAAAAATGCTGCTGTATTAAGAACTCGATCGAGAATATATCATTTGACTAAACGTTTGGAAGAAGCCTTAACAGATATAGATACATCTTTATCAATTGAACTGGTCAAGTTTAGCGCAATTTTGAATTGAGCTGAAAATAAATCAACTGTTTGGATGGAGACTTCTGCCCAGCCAAAATCTTCCCATCATTATATGCTTATTCTATTGCTTTAATAATCAAACGACAATTGTTGTCTTTGTGTACTGTTGCACCTAAAAATTTTCAAATTAAATGCGATACATTGAATTTATGCGGATAAAAATACTTACCATCGAGTGCAACACCAGTAAAATTTTGACTTGATCATCAGCTCCGTGTCTTTACGTGTTTGAATTTTACATCCTTTCGTCTTATAACAATTATCAAATGCTGGATGTGTATAATCGATTCCAGTATTAATTATTCCAATCCAATATGATTTTTGATAAATTAATTAAATTGTATCTCTTTGTCAGATTAAAACGAGTGATGCTCTTATTTTTTCCGGTGTAATTCGTTTGTGCTCGAACTTTGGCAACTCCGGTCAATTCATTAGCAGTAATTGGATTAGTAATATCGATTTTGTTACCCACAACTTATAGTCGTTCAACCATCGAACATTTAATTAAATATTTAACCTACTGCAATTTTATTATGCATGTACTTACCACAGGCCAATATTTTTTTATGATTGCTAAAATTGTTCAACTTATTCAAATTGTGCCGATTATTAACAGTGATCGAGACAATGTCGAGCAGTTCAAACGAACTTCTTAGTTTGAAATCAATGCCCGACGATTTAATGAGTCACAAGAAATTTTGTGCATTCGAAGAAACTCCTTGACCATCTGTATCATAAAATTTGTCGGCCTCAGACTAATGGATATAATGAACTAATCAAATCAAGGAAAATAAAAATTATTATTATTTTAAATGTTTAAGCCGTATGTGAAAAATAATACTATTTCCTTGCTATATTTTAAACATTTAATAGCTTCAGCATGAGACCCGAGAATCATATCATTTCCCGTATTGAAATCAAAACATAATCATTCGTTGAAGTAATATTTCAAAAGAGCGCAAGTGATTTCGTTTTCAGCCATTTATCCAAACCATCACTTAACGCGTGATATTAAAGATCACAGAAAATATTTATTTTACTGAATTCTATGTTATAAGTGTAAATTGATCCGTTGAACAATATTACTAAGATAATTTTTGAAATATTAAAGGTTATTTACAATTGTATTAAATTGGAATATTTACAAACAATTCTTGAGTAATTAATTAAGTTACTCAGCTGATATAATTATAGTTATTTTTAAAATACTATTTAAAATAATTGTATACATCATAAGATATAAAGATAAATGTATAAATGAAAATCTATTATCAATTTTTAAAAAAATTTTGAAATTATTATTAATAAAAAATTGAACAAAAATAGATGAAATATTAATATTTATAAAATATAATGCTTTAGTTATATATATTATGTAAATAAAATTTAGATAAAACTTATGTAAAACAATTCTATTTTTAAATAATATAACTGCCATTACTTTCCGCCAGAACTGTACAAGTAATATAAAAAATCTCTCTCAATGAAGGCATGTGTTTTCTTTAAATACTTTTAATAATCTTACTAAATTGTCTTTAAATCATTATTAGGAGAGCTTCAAAATCCGAATCCCGGAAGAATCAAGCGCAAGGATACTAGATTTTTAGTTTTTCAAAAAATTACTCAATGTTGTTCGTGAGCTATTGTTTGAAGAAACATCTGGTGGTCCTTTTTTCTTGGATGATAACAAATATAAAGATGATCTTTTTCGGTTTTGGGACATACATAACTCAAATTTAAACTTGGTGTGGACTTGATAAAAAATAGTTTAAAATTATTTAACTAATGAGCATGAAAATATATGGAACAAATTCGGGAAGTTGAGATTTTTCTCTTACAATCATATGGTAAAACTTTTATTAATTTTCTTTTGTTTATTATACTGTTATTTTATGCTATATTTTTTGTTTATAAACCGATGCAAATTTAAAAGTTGTATTTTGATCAGCTGATCCTACCATTTTGTCGAGTACGAGAAGTTTATGACCTTCGAATCCCGTATAAAGAAACTGATGATGTCAAATTTATATAAACACAATTCGTTTTTATGGAATACATAGAAGTTTTCTAATTATTAGTTTATATGTTTCAGATGAAAGTATTATTTTCATCAATTTCTTTACATTAATTTCATTAATCTTTTTTGGTGATAATAAACACCTTTCGATATCAGCATACAACACGAAGTCGAAGAGAATGAAAACGATTTGCATGAAAAAATAAAAATTTAGATATTTATGTTAGGGTTAAAATGGCTTCGATATTGCTGCCGCCGCAACGAAAATCGGAAAAGTCTGGAATGATGTGTAATTTTTTCTTTTATGTCTATCATTGTTACGTAAAGAAAGCATTAGTTGTCCATTACATTAAATTCCTATCTTGTAGTAACAGCGTTAATTTTTCTTTATTACGTAACTCTCAATAATAATAATTTCTTACTAAATTCTTATTCAACAATCCCAAGATTTTGAGTACCGATAATAATTTCAAATTCGTACCTCGTGATCCATAATAATAAATTGAATTTTCATTTGTACATGTATATACATAAGAAATAAAATAAAAACCGCAATTTGATTTAATAATTAACATAGATATTATCTTTTGGTAAATTTCTTATGATTTCAAAAAATTTGCACATTAGGAACTCATAAGCTTATAAGGTAGCTTTGGAAGATTTGAAAAGCGGGAAATATGTAATTTTAAGAAAAATAAAGATTGAATTATTTTAAACGCTTACTGAGCAGCGCTTCGGCTTTTTATTTCTTTCGTACCAACGAAATTGATGGCATTTATTTCTTTTGTGAATGTCAAAATTGATGCTTTTACTTTATTTTGCCTTTAAAAGTTGCTGCTTATATTGTGATACTTTGTTTATTATTGTTTAATCTATTTTTGTCATTTGTGTTAAAAACTCTTTAATTTCATGTAGATATATTTTTTGTACCTTAATGTAGCCCTTGATTGAACAACAGATTAGTGAAACCCCATTTCACGCAAATCATTTCATTTTTAATTCTTTATTCAACATATAGTACATGCACTTATGAATTGAGTGTGACAATATCAAATTGTATAATTAAGAGAGTACATATACATGTACATGTATACACATTTTCATGTAATATGTGCATGTATAATAAACAAAAGGAAAATTTTCGAATGTAAAACATTCTTTTGTTTCATTTATTCGATCTTCCATTTGTTTTGGGAATTAATGATTCTATGTTCATGATTGGCTAAGCTTATTCTTAGCTTTAATTAAATAAACAAATAAAGCATATCATGTGACGCACAGAGAATAAAAAATTCTGCATGTTTATTAAATCAGAAATTTGCAAAGTTACTCCCATTGGTAGAAAGCCAAGAAAGCAAATTGTATTGAGCAGAAACCTATATATGCATATTTGTTTTATTTGTTTGTTGTGTATTGTCGACATGGTTTGATTAGTGAAAATGTCTTGTTAATTGATGATCCGAGATTTGGTTTCGTGACAGTATATGGTATGTTCTCTTTTTACTTTTCTTTAAACAGCTTAGTTATTGCTTATATAATACGTAATTCACTTGATTTGTTTATCATTGAGTTTCGAATAAATAAAGACACGCGAAATTTCAAAAAAAATCACACAGCTTTAATATGCATCTTGGTTTTTTCGATACATATTAGTCGCACAAATAGAATTATGATTTTTCGTACCTGTTTTTGATTCTATTATTTATTGAATGAACTACCAAAATTTTTCCTTTTCGTTGCCCAAAACTTTAGTTTTAATTTTACTCATACTTACGCGACTCATCATTCACTTTAATCAATAAAAAATATTATTCTTCCAAAAGAGCCTAAATATCCTTCCTAAACATAATGTCTGCGTCGTCAACTGACTTTGAAAAAGGAATGATTGCAATATGCACATTCAGTTCGCTGAGCAATATCCTAGCTTCATTTATGCTTTTTTGGATCGCGACTAATCCAGGTCCAAACAAAACAATCGCCCGTTTAATAATGAATTTGTTAGTTTCGGATTGGTTGCAAAGTTTTGGGTTTTTGATGAGTTTTAATTGGCTGGCAAAAGGAAAAATACAGCAAGGAAAGTATTGCCAATTGCAAGGAGTTATCATTAATGTGGGAGACCTTACGTCTGGTAAGTAAATATTTCATCGCATATCAATTTTTTAATCAAGCTAAATGCTATATTTTGATATATACTTAGGATTTTGGGCAACTAGTATATGTCTACATACATATCTGTTAATAGTTAACGGCCGCGAGCCAAAAAATCTCCTCAAAATTTTAATGAAATGTATCTGGCCGATTAGCATATTGATCTCGTTAATTGGTCTCCTCATACAACATCCAAATGATCCATTCTACACGTCAGCCAGCGGAGCTTGGTGTTGGATTGGCCCGAACTACAAAGAATACCGAGTGATACTGCACTATGGAATTCTCATTGTGTTCGCGATTATTATGATTTTTTTGTACAGTTGGATGTTTTTGAACGTATATCGACGTCAAGAACGCGTGGAAATGGAAGCCACAAGAAAAGTATTCCAAAAAACTAACAAAAAATTGATTTGCTATCCGACTCTTTACCTTGTTCTTGTACTTCCTTTGGGTTTAGGTAACCATTTTTTCGCTTAGACAATGGTTGCTCTCGTAGATGTTATGCATACTAAATTTGGATTTTATTTAGAACGTTTTCTTTCTCTCGGCGGTACCATATTACCCTTTTCATAGTAAGTTTTAATTTTTATCGATACGCATGAATTCGTATTAAAACGAAAATACTTTCTCTCACTTAGCCTAATCGCAGCCGCATGCATTTTCACATCCGCCGGCACGGTAAACAGTATAATTTACGGAATAACAAGGAACGTAGTCTCCGTAAAGCCTGTACGCGAATTTGTTCCAAAAATCAAACGACATTTAAGCACCATCGTAGTCGATCCACAATCACTAAACGCTAACGGCGTTGAATCTCACTACAATGCACACATTTATGTGGAGGCCGAAATTGGAAATTTAAATGAAAAATCAGAAAAAAATAACATTGTTCGCGTGCCATCCATCGAAAATTTTCATGCTTTGACGTGCTCGGTTCCTGTTCAACCATTAGAGTCTATTTATCGACCATCATCATCACGAAATAAAGTTTATGAACTACCGCTATACAGTTAACGTTAAAAAGACAAGTACCATTCATTCTCATATTAATTATAAGAAACTCGAAATTATTTGTTCTACATTAATCTTCCACAATACTAACTAATTAATACGCAATATTCCGAATTTGCAATTTTTCTAATCTTGTTATAACATACATACGTTACATTGGTAGATTCACACATTTAGAAATTGTATTTTAGACGATAAAACGCAGATAGATGATAAGATAGTAATAGCCGTAATTCTTGTACATGTCAATTCATATTCATTTAATTAATGTTCATTTTTAATTGCCAAAATTAATATATTCACTTTTAACGATCCTTTTTTAAAATCATACATGTAAGATTTGGGCAAAAATGAAAAGTTTGATTATACATGTACATGTGTATCCATAGTACATGTACACGTAGAAATGCAAGATAACGATAATGATTTACCTTGAATGGTAAAATTACATGTACACGTACATGTACACGTATATGTACACGTATATGTACATATACATGTAATTGAAAACTAAGAATTCAGTTATTCCAATTAAGTACCTGAGATTATTAATTAGTGGTTCAAAATGAGTGTCTATATTCGGTACTGTTCGGATTTTAGATGCTCAAAGGGGTGTTTGTCATATGGTGAGCACACAGCAAAACTATGCTTAGAGTGTATATAATACATATACTCTAAGCATGGTTTTGCTGTTTACTAATCCATATGTTATAAAAATGTGTCTGCTTGTGTCTTAAAAACTGTTAGCTCAAATTTCTGATTAACTATGATGTGTAACTTCTTTTCATTCTAAATGTTGTAAATATTGTCACACTCTTCCTCTAAAAGCACACTCTTTAAAATGCCTCTTACATAAAGCGATTACAATAATTATTTTACTTAATCACTTTTTAATGCATATTCTTGCAACTTACACTATATAAGATGTATTTAATATACAGTATAATATCAGAGCAAACTTCAACAAATACAATAAATACACATGATGTTAAATATACAGTACATGCACATATACATACGTACGTATAAAAATCATTCAACATAATTAAAAAACGAGTTTGTACTGTAATTGCATATGCATGTATATCTAAATTTATGATGTTAATACAAAAGTTTTAAATTTTTATTTATTATAAATTCAATAAGTAAATATATAATCATGTGATGTTTTGGAATTAAGTGAAGATGGTGCTTGATTTATTTTAAATCTATACGTAATAAGCTACACATGGTATACGAATGTAGTTGTTTTGTTGCTTGATATCAATACAATCAGTATAATGACATGACTAGTGTGACTTTTATATTGTTCTGATACGCTTGTTTATATTGAAAATATCATATCTATTCATTGTTCAATATAGAAAAAGTTATTTTCAAATATTCTCACTGAAGAGTTGGTGTACTATTTTGAGAACACTAATGACACAAATTTCTAGCGCTGAACATAAACTGCCATGAATATTATATGTAGTGTATTGAATATAAAAAAACGAAAATGTTCTACGAATCAATAATTGAACATCCAGTGAAAATAAATATATCAACAGTCTAATAGAAAAGTATAATTGCACGATCACAAAAATCACAGGAAAATAAATTCATTATGAGATTAGTGATTAACAGGGAAATTGAGTTGAAGTCAAACATACGCATTATTATGGTTTAAAGGTACTAAAATGCTTTTTTCAAACACAATTAAGCTTTTAAAATTATCCAAATTCAATCCTACTAGAAGATATGCAAATTTGTGCACACATATATACAGTAAATACAGTACATGTGCAAATACAAAAAATTGACTTGGAAATGCAAAATTAAAATATTTGACGGATAAAAAATTTATTGATAAGAAATACTTTCACCCCTATAAATATATTCATAAAATACCTCAAATTGTTAATCCTGGTTTAATCAATTCAATACATGTCGTTAAATGATCATATAAAAATTTTTATTGAGTAAAAAAAGGATTTGACCCCGCCATTTTGAGTTATCGAACTAACGTATATGAAATACCTCTTTTGTGAATCAAATTTTGCAGTATTTCTCACCAAAAGCAACATCTTGGCTATTAAATCATTAGAAACTTCATTATAAAGATAGATAGATATATATATATATCTTGCTCTGTGTTTTTAATTATGTCAAAACCCTGTTACATGTATCTTGCTTTGAATTTTTTGCATTCACAATCAAATTCATACATGTTGTGCTTGATATTTACGATTTGTTATTGATAGGTTATCACATCCTAAATTAGCAAAAATTATGAAAAAATTTCAAAATTTTTACTAAAAATTCTTATAATCTAATAAATAAACTTATTTAGAGTAATATATAAAATTATTTATTAAAATTATTTTTAAAAATAAATTTTTATAATAAAATTGAAAAAATAAATTTAAATCCAAGTTTATAAGAGATATTACTAAGATTTAATAATAAATTATATTATTTTTATTCTTAATTTTAAAAAATATATATAAAATAGTTTTTATTATTTAAACAAGGTAATTTTTATAAATTTTTGTTTATAATTAAAAATTCTCATTTTTTGTCTCAGATTATATATAGTATATATTATTTATAATTATCAAATTTTTTTAAATTTGCATATTTTTCTTTCTGAAAAATAAAAAAAGTAAATTTAATAAAATAATAAACAAAATAATAATTTATTAAATTATCAGATTAATTTTTAATTTGATTTTTTTACAATTATTATAATTTAAAAATTATTAATATATTAATAATTAATTTCATTTTTAAATAAATAATCTAAAATTAATATATTATATAATTTATCCAATTAAATTATAATAAATTATATTATTAATATTAAAATATTCAAATTATATATTTTTTAATTTGATTTTTTTACAATTATTATAATTTAAAAATTATTAATATATGAATAATTAATTTAATTTTAAATAAATATAGTCTAAAATTAATATATTATATATTATGTAAAAATTTATCTAATTAAATTATAAATTGAAATATTCAAATTAAATATTTATTAATATAGAAATTTTAATTAAAGCTTTAGCTTAATGTTAAACTTGTAAAATAAATAATATTTTATATTATAAGAAATAAAACACTTTAATAACTTCTTTTTTATTAATTTTCTTAAATTATTAATTATATAATAAATATATTATAAAAAATATATTATATTAATATAATAAGTTAAAATTTATTATATTAATTATATTAATATAACTTTATATAAGTTCAAATCTAAATTTAAAACTTTTAAATATATTTAATAAGAATTAAATATTATTATTAACAAAATATTATATATATAATCAAAATAATTAATTATATATATTTTAAATTTTAGAATATTTAATATTAATAATCAAATTTTTTTATAATTATTATACTTGAAAAAACAAAATTAACAACGAAAATGTACTTTTACTCAAACTTGAAATGCAAATATAGGTAAAATTTGCATACACATTTAGCGAAAGTCGTACACTCGGTGGACAAAAGTTTTTCTACATGTATTTTATTTGTCCCCATTTGAAATAAATATTACATATACATGTACATGCAATAAAAATTTATTAAATCGGAATAAATGTTCATAGGAATGGGAAGTCCGTGATAGGAAGTTCAGTATGACAAATTAAAGTACTGTTACCATAATTCCACTAAAATCTTTAATTCCCGAAAGTATGTTAGGATCCATCGACACAGTTTTTCAGAATCGTCTACATATTTCAGCATAATCCTCCATGTTTTTCAGCATGATCGCACAATTGCTTTATGACATTCGATCTAATTCTTTCTTTAGTCATATTATATTATTTTATTTTATTTTATTTTGCTGTGCCCTAACAATGTAATAAGAATTATAACGATAAAAAGAAAACGCTGAAAAATGTATATAACGGATGGCTTTCGGCCTTTAGTAACAAGAGAGAAGAAATAAACTTTGCGACAATTTTTTTCCAAGTATTAAAACACTTGAAAAACCCTTTGTAAGGCAACTTAATTATAATCGTAATTATTAATTATTATAGATCGGTTTATTTAGAAAACGCAAACGCATCATGATTGATTTGAAAAATGAGTTTAAGGCTTTTTGGCTAGAAAAAGTATCGAATAAAGTTAATAGTTAACAAGCATAATCTCTCTTCTTCCTACCAAAACATCAACCATTATTCCTCCAATTCCCATGCTGCACATAATTCCGTAACTCTCTAATTCTCACGCATCAAATCATATTATTCTTCTTTATTCTTTCTTTAGAAACGCATACACAGAATGATATCCGTAGATAACGGCACGGGAATTAATCAAATTGTCATAAACAATCTAATCACTTTCTCCCAACACTTTGTTCACATACAAAATCACTAATTCCGCATAACAACACTTATATCGTGACAGTATATGTATATATGTAATATATAACGGAAAATTATAGATGACAAAAAGATTTAATTCGCAAATATTATCCTACATAATTTATTATGAAAACATTATAAATAGATCATGTTAAATATATGATGTAATTGTTTTCTTAAACAATTTATTATGAACAAACAACCTACATTAAATCGTGTTTGGTTTATTCAGTTTATTTAGTTGAAAATTTGGTTTTAAATTTCAAATCCAAAGTTTATTTTAACTCGGTTTGAAAAAAAACCAACTTCTTAAACTGAATTTTATTTGATTTTTGGAAAAACACAGATTTTCTCGAATTGTTCTAGAATTTTCGTAATCACGGGTTTTTTCATTGAGACATAAACTGTGCTCGGTTCCTGATCACATTATAGCCTATCAATACGAATGCACAAATCATAAGTCAACCGGCAACTAACAAAAGGTGATTTTAATCATTAGGGCTAAGCTAAGAATGGAAAAAAGGGATTCATGTAAAATTGTCTCACCATATTTTTTAATGATGTTCCGAGCTATATTTTAATATTCTTTTTTATTTTCTTGTGTTGGATTTGTTTCGCCGGATTGATCATTCTTATTGGTCTGTGAAGTGCATGTAATTAGAGCTAAAAATTCAATTCGTCACTAACATGATGAGCGGTTTTGTCTGACAAAAGATAACGAACACAGGACATGTCCTGTTATAATATCTAGACAGTAGAGATCTGACAATGATTATTTTTATATGATGTGGATAGTTCCAAATTTAATTGTCCATCTGCCTAAAAACTTGCAAAGTGGTTTATATGATCAAAAAAAGAATAAAAAATATCATTTAGATTGAATATAAAAATAAATATGCGAACCTGTATCAGTTGGGATTGGTTCTTTGATGCTGATCTCGGCTCAGGACTTTTTGGCCGATATTGTCATTTTAAATGAAAACTTGTTGGATGCGCATTGCATTATACGTAATCCATTTTTAGGTAATTATACATGTATCGGTTATCGTTATGGGGACATCATAAAACATCCAATTATTTTTGAGTGGCCAAATTTGGTTTTAGTTTTCAAAAATTATATTTAGTTAAAAAGACGATTATACACTTTACAATTTATTATATCACGTGATATAATAATTTATATGATTGGTCAAAAAAATTTATTCTAAAAAAATATTTATGAATTCATAATCTCCTATGTGATTTACATTTTTTAACCACATATTCTGCAAGTTTACCTGTTAATCCATATCGATATGCATTTTATTTGTTGAATTTTTCCATGTTGAGCTAAGAAATTTAGTTGATTTGCTATCAATGATCAAGCACAACAATCAATAATATCAAGATTTAATTGTTTGCTTTTGCATAAATTACAATCCAATACCATTCATCATGCCATAGATTTCGTTCTCTAAGAATTCACTGAATTCCTTTTGGTTTCCACGAAGATTAATATTTTGGTTTGTTTTTTTTTCATAAATAAAATAATCTTGCTCAATAATCATTGATTGTTGTTGTCTATTCCACGCTGTATTGCGCATTTTTGGAACTGTTCCTCCTGAACCCAAATTCATTTTGATGCAACTAAAGCATCTTCAGCAAAAGCTGTATGAGAGATGGTATTATCAAAAGCAAAAATGCTAATACAGTCAGAATATGTTCGTTCAAAAACGTCTATTGTTTTTTAACTTACTCAATAAGTTTGTCACTATTCGAATATCCATCATGATTGGCTCCAAGAATCACTGTAACTCTTGCTTCATCCAAATTATCTTTAAGTAGATCAATTGTTCCTGTCAAAAAATCACTAATATATATGCCTTGTTCTTGAATTTTTTGCGCAAAGATTGCTCTCCTTTTGGATCCCACACAGCACGATGACCATCATATGAAAAATAGACTCATTATGAGTTATCCATACATGTTCTTTTTGTTTATCAGCTAATACTTTCAAATTAATCTTCAGACACCATCATTAAATATGTTAGAAAATGTTTGACTTGCTTCTATTTTCCTTTTTGTCATTCAATATAAGCCGGAGATAATATGAAATAGCAGTGTATCGAATCTTCTGGATCTCGGAAAGTGACTTATTGGATGTCACTGTTTTAATAAAGTCAACAATATTATGAATTGTTCTTTCTTCTGAATTCTGAAGCTTGCTGCTTTCATCATCATCACTATAAACAGTAATAGAAGATTATATATTAGTCGCATCAGCAAAGAATTGCAAAAGTACTACTACTTTTATTGATTATTTCTTTTCACCATTTCGTGCATTCTGAGTCTTCCCGATAATGGAGAGGATATTCTTAATTTTCGAAGCTTTCTGTGATGCAGAAAGTAGGAGTTTAAAAAATTATGCTTGCATATTCATCATCATTCAATTCTGTATCATCAACTTTGAGTATTTTATTATCAGAACCTGTGAAACTTGCTGAATTTGGATCGTATTCATCACTTGAGTAAGATTAAAAAAGTTAGTGACTGAAGAGTTATCACTTTCATATATATTCTTTATTTAAATGAAAGTGAACAAGATTGGTAGTCAAGGGAAAATTTGGAAAGGATTGGCCTTTCTCATCCGAGTTGAAATCAATAAGATTGATAGCCAGAAGGTCAAAAAATGGTTGGGCTATCTCATTCAAATTGGAATCACTGAGATTAATAGGAAGAAGAGAGTCTGGTTGCTGTCGGAAAGCTTGATAAATATGAAGTTATTGCTTTCTTTTTGATGGCCTTGATATTATTATGAGGAAAACTGGGCTATTTTTAAGTTGACAAGTCTTATGTCACTAGTTTTTCACTCTTTCTCTCCTCAAGAAATCAGGTGATGTGAGAACATCCGAGTAACTTTACGTCCATCAGTATTGGCACTTTCTGATTAGATAAATCATATGTTTTATGATCTAGTCAATTATTATTTGAAATGTACCACATTTGATTGGTCGTTCATAAAGCACATGACTTTTTCATGGACAATTATTATGAATACATAGAAATTGGGCAATACTTTAAAGCATTATAACGTGAAAAAAAAGAAATTCGAAAAAAAATTAAGCCAAATTATAGCTCTTCAAAAAGCTATTATTTGACTAAATTATTTTTGTCCTATCACCTCTCCTTCCGAGCTATATCACTTTGTATAACATTACAAAAGTTGATAATTTATGCTGTCGGCATTTAAGGAGTACATAATGTAGATCACGAATTTTTGATATGTCTTCTCTAAATAAATTACGATAAAAAATATATCATTTTACTCAGCAAAAGTAGGGCTATTCATAGATATATTTAATATCGGGTTGGATACCCATTTACATTAATTAATGCATGCACTCTCCTCAGCATACTTTCAACCAAATTTTTAAAATTTCCGGTCCGATTTCATTCCATCCCTCCACGAGTGCATCCATCAATTCTTGGGATGTGTTGGTTGTGCACGAATTCGTCTTTCCAAAACATCCCATAAATGCTCAATTGGATTTAGTTCAGGACTCTGGGCAGGCCATGGAAGCGAAGCTATTAGATTTCTCTCTCTCCATGATAATTTCTGTGAACCGGCGTATTATCATCTTGAAAAAGATGAACAGAACTAGCTGGTAGTTCATCTAAAAATGGTCAAAGATGCTGTTCAAGCAATTCTACATATTTTTGGCCAGTTATTTCACCGTCAACTTCGATTAATAGTCCGAGTGCATTTCGGGTAAAACATTCCCATACCATTACTCCTCGATTACCCGATTTCATACTAGGAAGAAGACAATCAACGTCATATTTTTCATGGGGTCGATGCCAAACCCATTGCTGTGAATCATTTCTGAAGATTAAATACCTTGATTCATCACTCCAAATTACTAATTCCCATTCAAGAACCCAATCTTTTCATTCTAGACACTATTTTAATCGTTTACGATGATTTTCCTCAGATATGAAAGGTTTTCTTAGACCAACCCGACCAAAAACCCACTTTCGTGAAGATTACGACGTATGGTTTTAGAATTTCCAAATCAGCATTGAATTTTTCAGTAATTTTATCAACTGATTGTTGCCGGTTATCTTTTACAATGCTGATTATTCTTCGGGTATCTCTATCATTTAATATTGGTGGTCTACCGCTTTGGGCAGCAACTGTGATTTGGCCAAACTCTTATATTTTTGTATGATGTTATGAACTGTAGATTTGGGTCGTCCTAGAGTTTCTCCTATTTTTTGTTTGGAAAAACCATATTTCCAAGCGTCGACTATCTCGCCGCGCTCAAAATCCGTAAGTTGGCAATTTCTGCGAGTATTGGTTGAGTTTGACATTTTTCATTTTAAAGCTTAAGATTTTAGAGCTATTGAACGTTAAAATTGGGGAGCGGTTAAAGCGTAGTCCATGTCCAATAGGGTGCGAAAATTTTTTGATCAACCCGGCAAAACAAATCCGACACAAGATATGAAAAATGAATATTACTCGAAAACAATGCCTAAATCAGCCTTGGAATATTAATTAAAATTGTCGGGACTGCAATTTTACATATAATCTTGTCCTTTGCATTAACCGTTACCCTTACCCAGACCTTATAAATCATAAAAATCATTAATAGTAAACTCTGAAAATTTTAAGGGGATTGATCACATGATGCTTTAACCGTTCTGAACGTCTGTGTGTTGCACAAATAATGATGCAACTAACCCCTTTATTTATGTCGATCATGTGAGTGTACATGTGTATTATAGAAAAATGTGTCGCATTGTAAGATGTGAGCTTGTTTTTGATGCTTCAGTCTATCCATATAAAATTAGCAACTGGCATCATTTAAAGAAAGATTTAGAAATGCATCATTTTTTAGATTGTGTGAGTTGGTTTGATTAACAAATTTGTATTTAATATAGTAATGTAAACATTTACGTTCATTTTACAGTCGATTTTTCTGAGTTCACAACTCTGTCAGCACTAGTGATGGGCAAATACGCGTATAGTTGGTATGCATATACAGTACTTAATGTGGTTATCAACCGATATTCTAAATGCACATACACAAATTATAGTAATAGATCATCCCGGATTATTACCATTTCAAGCTCACGTCATATGTGAATTCTAGAATTTTTCCCAATGTCCCTGCACAGCGATAATCGTATATATGTATAACACTATTTTAATTGTTGTTTTTTATTTGGGCACAACATATAAAACAACTTAAATACGAAAATTTAATAACAATAAGATTTGATTGTCACACGGGCGAAATCATGTTGTGAAATCAAACAGCATTTTAAACCTCCTAAATGCATGCTCTACTGTACCTGATTTTTCTGTGTCCCGACGACGTGTACTTAGGAAGATCTGGTTACCTACACAGTTTTAACTTGTTTACATATTCTAAAGCTTTGCCTTTATATACCTTAAATGGTTTTTACATACTCTAGCGTAGATTTGTACATGTTAATGCTATTTAAATCATGAAATAAAAAATTTACTTTTAAGTACTATTGCACATGTAAGTACATGTAACAACCTAAATATGAAAATTTAATTTAATAAGATTTGATTGCCACACGGGCGAAATCATGTTGTGAAATCAAACAACATTTTTATCAATAGTATTGGGAATTCCGATTCGTTTATTACAGTCAGACTTTTTAAATGAAACCTCCTAAATGCATGCTCTATTGTACCTGATTTTTTCTATGTGTCCCGGCGACGTGTACTTAGGGAGGTCTGGTTACCCTCACAGTTTCACAGTTTGAACTTGTTTACATATTCTAATACTTTGTTTTTATAGCTTTACATATTCTAGCGTAGATTTGTACATGTTAATGTTATTTAAATCATGAAATAAAAAAATTACTTTTTAAGTACTATTGTACATGTAAGTACATGTAACAACCTAAATATGAAAATTTAATTTAATAAGATTTGATTGCCACACGGGCGAAATCATGTTGTGAAATCAAACAGTATTTTCATCAAATAGTATTAGGAATTCCGATTCGTTTATTACAGTCAGACTTTTTAAATGAAACTTCCTAAATGCATACTCTATTGTACCTGATTTTTTCTATGTGTCCCGACGACGTGTACTTAGGGAGGTCTGGTTACCCTCACAGTTTCACAGTTTGAACTTGTTTACATATTCTAAAGCTTTGTTTTTATATACCTTAAATGGCTTTTACATACTCTAGCGTAGATTTGTACATGTTAATGTTATTTAAATCATGAAATAAAAAATTTACTTTTAAGTACTATTGCACATGTAAGTACATGTAACAACCTAAACATGAAAATTTAATTTAATAAGATTTGATTGCCACACGGGCGAAATCATGTTGTGAAATCAAACAGAATTTTCATCAATAGTATTGGGAATTCCGATTCGTTTATTACAGTCAGACTTTTTAAATGAAACCGCCTAATGCATGCTCTATTGTACCTGATTTTTTCTATGTGTCCCGACGATGTGTACTTAGGAAGGTCTGGTTACCTACACAGTTTAACTTGTTTACATATTCTAAAGCTTTGATTTTATATACCTTAAGTGACTTTTACATACTCTAGCATAGATTTGTACATGTTAATGCTATTTAAATCATGAAATAAAAAATTTACTTTTAAGTACTATTGCACATGTAAGTACATGTAACAACCTAAATATGAAAATTTAATTTAATAAGATTTGATTGCCACACGGGCGAAATCATGTTGTGAAATCAAACAACATTTTTATCAATAGTATTGGGAATTCCGATTCGTTTATTACAGTCAGACTTTTTAAATGAAACCTCCTAAATGCATGCTCTATTGTACCTGATTTTTTCTATGTGTCCCGGCGACGTGTACTTAGGGAGGTCTGGTTACCCTCACAGTTTCACAGTTTGAACTTGTTTACATATTCTAATACTTTGTTTTTATAGCTTTACATATTCTAGCGTAGATTTGTACATGTTAATGCTATTTAAATCATGGAATAACAAAATTAATATTATACATGTAAGTTACATGTAAACAATAAATTGCATTAAAATTTAGGTAACGGTATATCTTTTATTGATTGTACATGCGACATGGAATTCACAATACAAGTACATGTATATAGTAGAAAAATGAATAATTTTTTTATCAAACAAAATTTAATTAAAATATTTAATCAGCTTAAATAATTGATAATATAATAATATAATGCAATTATTATAATATAAACATTTTTTGTTTTCGAGATATTATAATTAAAATTTTAAGTGATTCCATAATTATGTTGGTGGCATCGAGACGAAAACGATTTGATGGTAACCTATGCAATTTGTCTTCTACATTATCTGTTGAATACAGTAGCCCCTTATTCCGTATACTAAACGAATGATGCAATCTCCGAATCACAAGCTGTCCATTTGTTTGTTACACTTCATGCCTCCTCAAAGATTTTGCCCAAATCTAAGCAATTATTACATTATTTCCCTCCGCAAAATCCTGTCCTATCCGCATATCTTGCCTCGTTTGTGCTATTTTTGGCACACTGCTGGTTGTATTTTATATATGCGTCGCCATAAATGTTTTCATTAATACTGGTATATGCGCTGATTCATTATGCTTTCTTCTTATATGTGGTACTGAATATGTCTTATTTAGCCCTACCGCCATACCTGCCATCATATAATGTTCTCCTGCATCCTGCACGTTGCCAGGCCGGGACATGATAAAATCGAACCAATGAGAAATTTTCATTATCCTACTGTAAATTGAATTATACATGTAGATACTAATTTTTAATTCTTGGAAAAATTGCATGCAAAGCTTGCGTTACATGCTACCATGGTCTTATAAAAAAGCCAGCCTTTAGACATTTATCTCTTAGATTTTCTCAAAAAATATTAAAAAATGCGTTCCGTAAATGTCTTGTTACTCGTTGCTTCTCTTTCGTTGATGGTTGCAAATGTTGCATCGCAATCGTCCAATTTACCCGGTGTTTTAGTAGGATATCCCACAAGTGATCAGAGTTTTTCATGTAAGAAAAGACCAACTTTCATTTTAAAAAAAATAAAACAACTAATTCTAAAGCTTTCACTGATTTTAATAGGTGGAGGCACAATGAACGTTGGTATTCTTCCAGGGCCCGATGTTATATCTATTACCACCATTCAGCTAGGTATTGCTGGTGTAAAAGGGGTTCCAATGGATTGTACCCCTACACCAGGCAAACCTCCCATGTCATATTATTCATGTAAAATGCCCTCCACATCGGATTTCTGCAGTGGCCGTTCATATGATGTTGCAATCACCAGCAACAATGGGAAATCCACTAATGCATTCAATGGACAATCAGCCACATTCACAATTGGTAATCCCGGAAATTATGGTATTGTTTTCACTGGTCCCCAACTCGCTTCTGTTTACAAGGTAAGAATCTAGTGTAAATAATACCGATCAAAATATCTTTGCTTTTTTTAATCTTCTGAAATCTGGTGTGTTTTTTCTTTTACAATTTTAGTGCAGTGACACCGTCAACGTTACATGGACTGATCGTAAGTATCTTTAATTTCTATTAATTCGTCTGTCTTTATGAACGAATGAAATCTAATTTTTAATTCTGACAAATTACAGCATTCAACGTGTATGCTGGAAGAACTTTCAGTTCTTTTGTCCTTACAGTGTTCGATTCTCAAGGAAACTATCATAATCCAGGGAACATTCCGAACACTGTAGGTGTTTTAAAGGTTGATCAGGGCTATTTCACTTTCAAACTTAACTCGGTTGTTCCCGTTACCCAAGCTAGAGGATACCAATTCAACGCCGGAATCGATGGAAACATTTATACCTCCCCTCCCTTTTTCATTTATGACAGTTGCTGATCGCTTGTGAAAATCATGTTACTTTTTCAATTAAATAGTAATTCTTTCACTGTATACTATTATCTGTTAATAATAAAATAGATAACAATAGTAAAATAAAAAAAAATTTTTAGATGATCACTTTATATTGATTGATGTGAGGCCGCATAGTAGTTAAACCATAAATTTAGTTTTGAAACCATTTCAGTGATTTGTTAACATAATATTAATCTCTCCAGGTTAAAATCAGTGACAGTGACTTGTGTAAAAGCAAAACGGTCGCATTTCGTAAGGAGTTGGAATAAATAAGAAAATACGAAGTTGGATTAACTATCAACTAAGAGAAAGTAGAGAAATTAGTAAACAAATTGTGTTCGAATGTAAAGCAAAACAACCTGTTATATTGAATTTTATTCAAAGTCTAGCAGCGATTCTTATGTTCTTCATATTGGCTGATAAATCATATTAAGTAAGAAAAACAATCTTGTGTCAACCTAACTTCTGAGTTGAGTATGATAGTACCATGTACATGCGTCTTGAACTTGTCATGAAATTGCCGGTAAAAAACTATATTTGGCACCGATTGAAACTTTACAATTAATTACATGCTTTAAAATAAAACATATTTGTTTTTGAGCGATTTAGAAGTTATAGGATACTTATATTAGCGGTCCTCATACCAATTTTTTATGCTATAAATGATTGAAAATTATATTCAAATTTAAACTAAATATCTACATATTCACACATCTTTATAAATATACTCAAACGCGACATTATTATAGTAAATATGATTTAATACATGTATTATTAAATCACAATACATTGTTACAACTATCCTATCCATTGGGATTCAAACACACTGAGGGAGATTAGGATGAAGTTTTCAAAGCATGAGAGTTTCTCCAAAAAGAAAAGAGATTATACTACGAATAAAGAGAGATTAATTAACTAAAGAGTTATTTATTTTTTATAAATTATATAGTTCTTCTGAGACGACGAAAGAAGTTTCCAAGTCACGAAATGAAGTATCAATCGTTAACGCGGTTGGCGTAGTTACAAGGAAATTGAACAGAGGTATAGGTATAACAACAAACATAACTTTCTTCTAACATAGAAATAAATCGAAGTTGTAGTACAGACAAATGGTAACGCTATTTCAATTGCTTTAAACTTTATTATGATTTATCTTGTTCTTGATTAAGAACATACTAAATTTTGCAAAATGGTCAAAACAATGTACGATACTGTACACATGTACCAAAGGTTCTTGGTGATCTAATTGCTTGTATTACATGTATTATGTAATTATCATTTAACTATTAATGGGAATATAGAATATAGTGTTACAGGATTTCCGTAGCAGCGAGTTATTTGGACGTTATGGAAGCTTTATGGGTCTAAAGCCTGGGTCGATATCTGCAGATATCATTATGGTTGTCAAATAAGGATTATACGTGTGGATAATTTTCAATTTAGATGTCTTTATTTTAATTATTCTTCACATTTAACAAATCCTAACTTTGCTTTAAGTCTTAAACTCTTAATATTCCTTTAATCAAATCAATCACATAACATATGCCGCGAAGGACCTAATCATCAATCAAATTCACGGATAAATATGGGTTCGAACGGGTCAAAATTAATTATATAAAGGAGATTCTGTATACAGGTAAGTATTATATTAATTATAGCACTTTTAAGCAAATTTTATTTAGTACTCTATATATATAGTATTCTTTTGCTTTTACAAGTTATTTTTATTAGGTCTATTATTTTATAATATTTAGATATAATATTATATATTGTTTTGAACATAATGATGAGACCTCTCCCCTTTTTCATCTCACAAATCCTAGGATTTCTCACTGGGCTCTTCATTTCTTCAGTGTTTTAATTATGTCTCCTATAATCGCACTAGAACAGCTAAAAAAGCTCTCAATAGTGCATTAGCTCTTGTAATCTCGGCCACTGAATTGATCACAACTTCAATATTTCTTTATTTGCTTCTTTAATAATTATAGATCTCTTTTCATAATTATTCATAATGACTTCTTAATTGACTTGTTTAATAATAATAATAACTATTACTAATAATAATAGTTCTTCTTCTGTAAATCAGCAAATTTTTTCTTTATTCTCTCATATAGTTATTATATTTCTCTTCTATAGCAAAATCTAGAGCTTTATTCGATTCTTTCTTTATTAAATTACTTAAATCTTCTTATAATATAATAATATTTCTAATATTTCTATATTTATTAGTAAATAATCATATTTTGGAGCTATATCTTTCTTGAATAACTTCGTTTTATCTTTTTACAACATAAAACTTGCTTTTAGTTTGATATTAAATTCAGATTCTTAATAATACTTGTAAAAATTTTAAATAACTAAAAAATTAAAAATATTTAATTTTTAAAAAATTTTTTTCATCTATATTTTCTATGCTTTTAGTTTGATATTAAATTCAGATTTTTAATAATACTAGTAAAAATTTTAAATAACTAAAAAATTAAAAATATTTAATCTTTAAAAAATTTTTTCATCTATATTTTCTATACTTCTTATATTTTTAGTTTTGATTTTCATAATATCAAACTAAATAATTTTAGTAAATAATAATTTTTTTCATTCCTAGTTTTACTCTCATAATATTAAATTAAATAATTAGATAAAAATTAATTATTATCAAATTTATTCTATAATTAGCAATTATAATTATTTTATTAAAAATATTTAAATCTTTATTCACAAAAAAATATCAGAAAAAGATTATTAAAAATTTAAAAATAAAATAAAAATTATACTTAATAAAAAAATATAATAAAAAAATTAGATTAGTCTAATAATTAAGATAAATAAATAAAAAAATATTATTCAATAATTATTTATTTAATAATATATATTAAATATTTAATATTAAATTAACTTACTATAAAATTATTTAAAACTATTATTAATCTAAAATATATATTAATATGATACAGTACAAAAAAATTAATATATTACATAAATATTAATAACTTTATTTTTTTAAAATAAAATTTAATTCTGTTTTATTTAAGTTATAAGATATTAAAATTTATTTAAATATAAAAATTTTTATTATATATATTTTATAAAAAAAATTTTACTAATATAAATTTTTTTTGAATTATTATTTCTTAAATTTTACTATATAAATTTGATAAAAATTAATATAAAAATTATATAATAAATAATCTAATTATTAAACTTTGAAACTTAATATTTTTATAATTATTAATTCAATTTTTATAAAATTTATAATATATATTTATCAAATCTAGAATAATCTACTTGTATAATTTAAAGTTTTAGTCTTTCAAATTGATAATAATAATATTTAAAATATCTTTTTTTTAAAAAAATAATTTTATTTTAGTTTTTTAATAAAGTAATACTTTATTTATTATTAAATTAAAATATAATAAAATAATTAAAATAATATAAAAATTAAATTAGGTCATTCTTTATTAAATATAAAAAATTTATAAAGATTAATTAAAATTTAAATGATTTTTATTAGAACTAATTATTAATTTTATATTAATATTAATCTTTTTATACCAGATCTTATTAAGAATTATATAAATTATATAATATATAATATATATTAATATAAAATTAAAATTAAAAAAAAATAATTTATTATATCTAATAAATAAAACTTATTAAATTATTTATATTAACTAAGATAATTATAAATATATATAAATTAATATAAAAAGATTTATATCTCAGATAAATATTAATAGATTATTTTTTCAAAATAAAATTTTAATTCTGTCTTATTTAATTAAGTTATTAGATATTAAGATTTATTTAAATATAAAAATTTTTTTATAAAAAAATTTTACTAATATAAACTTTTTTCAATTATTATTTCTTAAATTTATTATATAAAATTTGATTAAAATTAATATAAAAATTATATAGTAAATAATTTAATTACTTAACTTTGAATTCTAATATCTTTATAACTACTAATTTAATTTTTATAAAATTAAAATATATATTTATCAAATCTAAAGTAATCTACTTATATAATTTAAAGTTTTAATATTATAAATAATAACAATAATATTTAAAATATCTTTTTTTAAAAAAAAATAATTTTATTTTAGTTTTTTTAATAAAGTAATACTTTATTTATTATTGAATTAAAATATAATAAAATAGTTAAAAAAGTATAAAAAATTAATTTAGATTATTATTTATTTAATATAAAAAATTATAAAGATTAGTTAAAATTTAAATGATTTTTATTAGAAGTAATTATTAATTTTTATATTGAAATATAAATTTTTTTGCACTGATCTATAATAATTATTATAATTTATTATATTAAATAAATAAAATATAATCAATCTTAAATAGTTTAACAAAAGTAATAATATTATTTTTATATAAAAAATTTTATATAAATATAATTTTTTAAGAAAAATAATATCTAATTGAAATATAATATTTATAATTAGATTAAATTATTATAAATAAGAGATAAGATTATATAATAATAATAATAATAATAATAATTATTATTATTTATTATTATTATTAAATTATTTAAAGAATTATATAATAAATATTAAATAAAATATTATTTATTATTATTATTATATTATTCTTAAATAAATAAACTTATAAAAAAATTAAAATAAAATATTATATAATATTATTAAAAAATTAATTTTATTTATATAAAAAAATAAAATATTTTTAATACTTTTGCTTAGAACTAATACAATAAAATTTATATTATTTTATTTTACTTATAATAATAAGTTATAATGTTTCTAAATCTTAAATTATAACTAATTAAAAATAAAGATTAAATCATTTTAAATAAAAAATTATAAGAACTTGTATTATTAAAAATAAACTAAAATTAAATAAATTAATTACTTAATAAAATATATAAAAATTTAATAAAAATAAAAAATACTTATTAATAAGATAAAAAATTTTAATTTTTTTATTTGAAATAAAGTTTTAAT